GGGGGGGGAGAGTGTACAGTATGAAGACAGGGGTGTGTAGTGTGGTGGTGTCTGGCTCTTTGGTCGTGTTTATCCATGTGTATGAGAGAACGGCGGGTGACGCCTACAACCACGCCTTGATCTGCAGCTTTTGCATGCGAAGTCCGTGGCGTGGGAAACACTCGTCTGAGCATTGCAACGGCTGACAAGGTAGGCATCGGTGCCAGATGTCGCACAACTCGATACTTGTGAACGTGCTTCTAGTAAAGTGTGCGAAGGCCTCGCTTACCCACACTGCAGTCAAGCACGAGCAAAATGCCGTGACGCTCCCATCAGAGAAAGTTGTGTGTCCAAACGCTGCGATAAGCTGGCACGTGTTCTGCGCATGTACTTCTACACTTTCCGGCGTGGATGCAAAAACTGCACCTACCTTCGCGTCGTGCCAAAAAAATTGTCGTCTCTTTCATTCATCGATTCCATGTCAAGGGCGTATGGTGCGTCGGGCGTGCGACTATTGATACGAAAATAAGAACGAAAAACACTTCGGATGAGGACTTGGTAAACTTTACAATCAATCAGGGAAATTCTACCTTCTGGTCTACGACTGCTACTGTGTACACAGCACTGCACTTCACGCTCGACGATGTCACACGTGCAGATCACGTGGCTGTTTCCTCCCCCTAAATGCCCAACCAAGCAAAATAACTCGCAAGAAGCTGTTCCAGCTTAACGATTGTCAACCGATGCCCCTATGCCAACCCCTTCCCGCCCTGCAAATGTTGTCCAAGCACCAAAAGAAAAACTGGATTAATTTCATCTGAAGTCATGACACGACCGCATGACACGATTTCCCCGTACCGCAGAAAGCTAGAATACACCGGTTGTTTTGATACCATCGCATCCTCAGTCCGTGTGCGTCCCCAACCATGGACAACGCTACGGCTACCACAGTATTTCTACCAACTAGTCAGCACACGAAAGAGTGCGTGCTTCGACCCCCCCCCCCGGGCGCCTTTCCCCCCCCCAACCCTCTCCATGAGGGAACCCTATCGTCCGTTTTCTCCGGATACCGGCGTTGGCATCTTTATTCACAGGTGAAAACAAGAAACATGGAAGGCCACATATTGAGATGTTGGCCATGGACAAAAAATATGAAAAACCGCCGAACCGTACATCATACCTAAGACCTCCCCGAAAAAACCAATAGCTAAAAAATTTGGGAAAATTC